AAAGTCATGAGAATTCATGACCAATGACACGATAATGTATTATTATTTTAGGACCGTTTAGGGTTTCGGGATCTGTTTAAGTTTTTGAAATAGTTTAAGTACATGAAGAACCGTAATAATTATACATAAAAAATAGCCAATGTGTGTTTGAAAAATTTGTTTTACGGTATAATAAATTGTTTTGCTTACAAATTGAATGAATATAACGGCGTCTGATAAAAAGACCTAAAATTTCCTTCTGTCTAATCATTGACTTACAATTATATGGACGTCGGGTCCGCGCTAAAAAGTGTCCGAACTTATAGGGCGTTAAAATCGTATACAGGGCGTCATTCACGCTTTAGTCTTCGTTTGTTCGACTGACAGCGAAGCAAGCAAAATTAGACAGTACTGCGATGATATTACAATTTAAATTCAACGTTTTAGATTTTTCATATTCCTTTACATGTCACTACGTTTAAATAGGTTGACTTGGACATTTTTTTCGTGGTTTTTGTATTAGACCCGTCGTCCATTTATTTGTAAGTCAATGTGTCTAATGCTAAAAAAAACAACAAAGTCGAACATAGCTCGAATATTCTTTCAAGCCCAAGATTGTTAAATAGGTATTATATTGTTCGCCATGAATGCATTGAATGCAGCTTTACTCTCCCCATATTTTCAGAGTCACAACTATGTATATTCTTCATACCCTGAACACAGGCAAAGTAATAGGAATGCGTCAGCATCATTAGTTCATTACGTTCGTGGTTACGCCCAGTGGCAGTGCTTAGGTTGGTAGTTTATTAGGCATGGATAGCGCGGATAAAGAACTTGTTAAAATCGATGTACAGCTTGCATCAGAAGATAGAGTTTCGAGAATTGGTGGATAGTCTTCTGACTTACACCCCAAGCAATGTTTTTAGTGTGGAAATTGTCAACAAATATTATCACGATGTTTTACTACCATGTAAAATTTCTCTACTTGTTTGTTATAATTATTTCAAATGTAAATTCATTTACTCTCAGACCAATTACTCCGTATTTGTCAGTAACAATCTTATGAGCTATGTTAGTAGAAACAAGAAGAACAATTACAATACATTAAATTATTAAATACATTATTATATGTTATAACTGCCGAGTCCATTTTTCGTGATATCATCCTTAGGATACCATTGGTGCGCATAATTGCATAAAAAATCATCAACATACGCATCAATTATTAATACAAAGATCGAACACAAAGAAATCCTTCGATCCAGCTGGACTCGAACTAGTGACCTGGCCATGCCGTCGCTGACACCCTCCCAATTGAACTTTGGAATGAACCAGTAGACCATATGTGCCCTTATGTGCTTGTTGCAGGTCTTTGTTTTTGGTTATAACGACTTTTTTGCCGTAGTGTCATCTGTGAGAAATCTATGAAAGTTTTTCTTCACTCAGCCAGGTACCTTTACATCTACCAGCAGTTTTACTAGTCAATAAATGTTTTCGACATGAACATGACTTATACAGAAATGGGTGATAAATCTGTAATAGATTTCTCGTATATGGCGCTACGACTAAAAAGTCGTTGAAAGATCAAGTACAAAGACACGACGCAAGCACATAGAAGAATTCGTGAGGTCCGTTGGTTCGTTCCGTGGCTTAGTTGGTATAGCGTCTGGCACGGTATGCAAGAAGACGTCGGTTCGAATCCGACCGGATCGAAGGAATTTTTTCTGAGTGTTTTTTCTGAGTGTTCGATCTTTGTATTAATAATTATAACAAACTAGTGGAGTAATTTCACAAAAAATAATTGAATATCAATTCAATAAAAATTTAATTTATACAGAAATGTTTTTGTATCTTTGATACTACAATGATGTCGAAATATTTATCAGTATTATTTGAAAATATCCTTTAAACATCACAAATTATTCTGCGTGACTTTACCATTATTATACAGAATAAATTGTTTTTAGAAATGAGTGAACAAACGAAAAACAGTAGACTAGTAATGTATTTCTTATTTAAGAGCTAAGATTTTGTCAATGGCTAATCTTCTCTGTTTAACGCCCTAACTATGGGAAGAAATAATTGCCCGTGGTTCATCTTGGTAAACCAATTAGTTGGTCCACGGGCAAGAAGCGACTTGAGTTCCCGATAATGAACTACACAACCGTATTCAAAAGGTTCTGCATGTTTTTTGTAGCCTGTAAACGAAATCCGCTATCTCTGTAGCCCATGAACAAGCCCATACCCTCACTAGTTAATGGTGCCTGTTCGTCTGAGATACGCCGAAGCTGGGGCATCACAAAACACCCACTCACTGTGACCGCTCTGCTATTTGTTGCCAATCCGCTTTTAACCAGTTTGAAACCAACAGAAGCTCTAGTTTCTAGTAGAATTTGGGCAGTAGGAAACAAATTCAAATCATTACTTAATTTTGACAAGATAGGCGTTGAAACCAATCTCACCTGATTGCAACCTTCTAATGATAACTGCCTCCGTGGCCGAACGGTTACCATGCCGGACTGCCACGCAGAGGTCCCAGGTTCGATTCCCGGGCCGGGAGAAATATTTGTATGACCTACATTTTATTTCTCTCGTGAGTTTGGGTGTAATTTGTGGTTGTCTATGTGTGTGTCCATGGCAGCCGCGACACAGGGTTTCCCTAGTGCGGGGCTATGTTGAGTGTGTGTGTGTGCGATTCCCAAAAAAACAACAAATGAAGTTTCAGACTGTCAGTAAGTTTATACTACCTTTAGCTTTCAAAATTGGAACGCAGATTACTGACGGGCGGCAGAATGAAGTAAGGCGACAGTACTTTCCTGGGCGAATTCCTTCTCAAAGAGTTTTAGCAATTGCTAAATTAGCATTTATTTTAGTAAGTATAATTCCCAGCAAGATGGCTTGATTGATCAACTGTTTGGTCAGTCTGCCATGATCATTGGATATGTAAAAAGCCCGAAACGTTGGTTTATACGACAAAACAAATATACGTAATTTAGATCCGAAAAAAAATTTATTACCGTAAGGTAGGGATGCATATTAAGATTCGATTTTTATGAAGATCGATTCAATTGAATATGATCTAGCGATTTTTGGAGTTGATTCATTGCAATGCGATGTTCAAGCGAATCGATTCAACATTATGGTGACTCGAAACATAGAAATCGTATTCACAATTTAAACAAAAGCCTCCTCTTTGAAATTTTTTATAGTTCGTTGGTAAAAATAGGTATTGATAATTAATTATAACAATGAAATAATATCGATTACAGATAAATAGCATACAATTTAGCTTATACGCGTGGTTTATGCCACTGAGCAAATAATTAAGGCTATAATATCATAGCTGCTTTTCATTTATTTTTCGTCGTGGTTAGTCGTGTGTGTAATTGGCATGGGTTCAATATTTAAAGACTGATAACGGAAGAAAACGCAAAATATTCCAGTGTGTCGTAAAAACAAAAGGCAATATCATGAAGTTCCTAATCACGTAAAGTAACACCATTCTTTGATATCGTTAAGTACAGAAATGGAAAATAAAGAGAAAGACACCGTTTTGTACATTAAGTTATATGATATTATTTTTGAAAAGTTGTCTTAGGATTGGCATCTGACATCATCATGGCTATTAAATCATATAATATAAAAAAGGTGTTTCATTTATTATCTAAAAATACAAATTTTGACACGCTTTATACGAGATCGATTAAGAGCATACGATCAAAAAAATTGTTTTAATGCATCCTCAATAACAGAAAAATCCTAACAAAGAGTTAGCATGGAAATAATAAAACCAATTGCCCTCCAGTGACAATCAAATATAAATGTTGTATAAAATAGTATCCTAATAAAAATGCCGTAAAATCAGAATCATTTTAAACTGCGTAACAAATGATCCTATCAAACGGAAAAGAACTACTCTGAAAACAAACTTGCGCAAGGCATGATAAATGTTAAAATAAAAGTTAGAAGCGAGAGCCATTCATTTGTTTAATATTCGTCTCATTAGCTATAATTCAGTGCGAGTAGGCATCTCGTTGGAATTTCTGCCGTATTTTAGCTCGCGAGAGGTCGTTCAGTTTTCATTTTGGTCCATGCAGAAGTGAGCAGCGAAGGATTTTTTTCAAATGTCTAAATGAATAATAATTCTTCATGAATTTATGCATTTTTGTTCATTTAATGCACTATACGCTCATGTTTTATGTTTACGTTTACCCTATCCAAAGTCGCATTTGTACCTGTTTTTATTTTTTGTTTTTGTCTATTTTAGTTGCTATTATTGTTAAAAGCCAGGATATTAAGTTATGACGCCATTGTTAAAACAAAAGCATTCAAAGTATACTGATATTCTACTTTGATAAATCGGAAGTATAACCCAAAGTTAGTGAAACCGTCGCTAGTTTTTAAAATAAGTTGTACCTACACTTAATCACTTAATTACTTAGTAAGAATAGAACTCTTTGTGAAACAGTTTGTCCAGGGAAGTACTGCCACCATACCTATTCATCCCACCAACCACAAAACTACATTAAAAATATTTTGATTTAAAAATCATATATTATAAATTGAAGACTACGTGTTAGATAAAGATGTATGGAAAGACGACATGGCTCCAGAATCCACACAAATTTGATTCAAAGTGTATTCCATAACATTTAAGTTTATTTGAAAAGAGCAATCCCTAGAGTTTCTTGCTCGTTCTTCTCAGGGAGGTCAGCGTAGTGAACGAGCAGTAGCTTAAATGTGACGTTTTCAAGTGTAAATTTATTTTACCTATGGAATAAATAATCTTTGACTTTGACACCAAGCAGTAATGTGGTAATTAATTACTGCGTTCCGGTTTTGGAAGTGCTGGTGAAACTAAGGACACATGAGACTTGTAAATTTTTTGTCTCATCGTGACGGGCGCAGTGGCAGTACCCCTCAGATCTTTAAAGTTCTGGGTGGAACTGCTATGGGCAGGCGTGTCGCTTACCACCAGGTGGACGTCTTATTTGGCTAGTCACTTGGTATCATAAAAAATCATTATCACAGCTGGGAATGTTTTGCGTTTTCCAGCAAATACTGAGTTAGTGACTCGACTTTGACTTTTATTACTGCAACTGACAACATACTAAGTACCTATAAGTTCAGTGTCCTTGTTATTGGCAATATTCTCTAATTTCACGTCTGAATTGTTTGATAATGTGCATTTGTTTATTCTCTCAATATCTTCTTTCAAGTAATATGATAAGGGATGCCTAGAACTTACAATACCAGAAAGGCTATTTTAAAGCTTGTGTCACAGCTCCTTGTGACGCTTTCCACTAATGTCTTAGATACTCCTCGTCACGCCCGCCGCGTGTGTTTGAGAAGATAATTTTCTACTTAATTAAACCTCCGTTGAATAGCACATTTAATTGGGCCTTCGAAACGTGTGCGAAGTCTGATATGAAGGGGATGATATGCGGATCTTTTTTTAATGGGATAGGCGGAAGTGAAAAATTTTTATCGTTCTCTTAATTCCGTACCATGCTAATGAAAACCATGTTTGCAAAACACGAGTTTTTATTAAGCATATTTTTTGCTTGGCTTTCGTTTTAAAATGTTAATGCAAGTATGTACAGTTAAATTTCATTATTGTTAATTAGCTTTTATGTCTTGTACGTTTACAATGCTGTCTTCCTTATCATAACTAAAGTTATCGTAATTTTTAGCTATCTGGTTGTTATAGTACATATTATCTGGGATCAGCGAAACATGGTCTACAACTTCCTTTAATCGGTTTTTTACATCTTACTTAGTTTCAGTTTTATCGCTAATCAAAATCGACGTAATTTCACTAGTAAAAAGAACCTTGTGGTTCCAATATATTGAAAGTAACCGAAATGCAAATCCGATAGTAATGACAAAGAGGACGGAATGTACTAAATCATACAGCGAAAGTGACTTTCTTTTTCATTATTATGACGCTAACCAACAACCAAATCAAGACCATAGAATAACTATATATAATGTACTTCATATGCTGGCTCATAAACATTTCGAGACCTACGTTTAGTGCCCACGTGAAAGGCAAACCATTTGAGAATAACATGTGAGCTGGAAAGATTAAAAAGAAAGTGACTCCAGCTGAAGATAGGATATAGCTGTTGAGTTTTCTAACTTCAGTGATTATGTAGACGACTGCGAAGGATAACATTGTCATCGTAGATAGCAAAAGAATCATTGCTATGGGCCTGAAAAATAAAAACATATGAAAGTTATTAATAGATGAAAATGTGTGGCGAATTGAGAAACTAGTATTGTTATATAAGGAAAATATACTTTACATGCATATATTTGAAAAACATGGTTAACTATGGGAATAATAATAAGAAAACTTACCGAAGATTAAACTCCAGGGGATAAGAAACAGCTCCAAAGAAAATCCCGCCTAAGCCAAAAAGCATTGCCCAAATGCTCCAAAGTTTTAGTCGATCCGAATGGGTTTCGTAGTTAGCGTAAATAAAGCCTGCTTTCAGACCAATTATTGTGAACATCAGTATTGACATTTGCCCTAGAGAAAATAAGTTAGGTACATCATTACATGGCAGTACACCGAATAGTTAATTATATTGGTTCAGTTCAGTAAAGAGGAATTGGTAAGTGGATGAAATTGATTAGAACATTACAAATGTCAAATAAGGGTGTATTTACAACCGATGTATTGGGACTGATCAGATTTATTTTGTAAAATAGCATTTGGAATGTATCGAGTACTTAAGTTTTCGCGATAGTTGCACGTAGGAAATGAAATTGTTTTTTCGGACCCAAATCACGTACATTTGTTTATTTCTCAAACAAACCAATCAACGAAAACGGGCTGAGCGTCAGTTTCATTTCCTACTTGGAACGTACTCAGAAAGTAGTTTCAATGCAATGACAACGTAACCAATTTTTAGATGCTTACCCATAATACCCTGACTGAATCCTAAATACCCATGAACGTTGATAACTTCCTCGTGTCTATTCGCCATGTAGATATTGGCATTTAACATCAGATCATTGTTACAAGTAAACGATTCTTCCGACAGTGTTTTCGAGAAATCCACTGCAGTTGTCATATCTAGGTTGCTGAAAAATTAAACTTTAGTATGATTGTAGAAAAACAGTATCAGACCAGATTTTTTGTAATATGCTGGTCGCTATTAATAGTTTTAAATATGGGAGACGAGATAAAACTTGAAAACATATATTACATGCGTTACTGATAATAGACAGAGCTTTAGAATGTTTACTGACTCACTTCAAACAGTTCAAAGTGATTACATTTAGACAGTTAGCTTTACAATGTTATAGTCGCTCACCTTAAACAGTTCAAAGAGATTAACGTGGAAATCAATATGGCTATGACAGCCAATATGAAACCAGATATAATCCAGCACCACATCAGCGATATAAAATTACTAACAGCTTTACAAATTATTTTCTGGAACAAAAATAATAGTCATTATTTGTCAAAGTAAGATCATGAAGTCATGAAAGGAAGCATTTCTTTAAAATTTAAAATTAGTCGTGAGAAGTTCATAATTGTACTAACCGCTCACGCGATGCGCTCCTCCAACCGCAAAATGGCGGCTATTTGGTTTCGCAAATTAGAAAAGCATTCAGTTTAAATACAAGTTTTTATAAATAAAAATTATTATTCTGCATTGCCAAATAAAAATAAAATACCCTCCGTACTACCAACAAAAACATCTCAAATAAAATGCAGTAATACACCGCAAATCCTGCACTTAAAAAGCACTAATGAAATTTTTGGTATACTTGGATAAATATGATAATATTCCGTTTGAGTGGCTCTAACGTTTACCATGAAATTACTCCTTAGAGTATAGTTTATAAACATTTATATTCAGGGTAAACTTAAAAAAATACTACTTACGGTATGTTTTCAATAAATAAACACCGAAATCACCAGCCCAAACAATAAAACTCACGATTGTCGTGACGTATTTTTGAAGTTGCTTATTTTTTTAAATGACAGATCCCGGCGTTAAAAACTTTATGGTTTGCTAGAGTAGTTACCGAAATAGCAATTAATATTAGTTCTTTTACCTGTTATAACTTCGGTATCCGATAAATCGGTATAAAATCATCACCGGCACCTCTAGGTGTGGTTTGCGTCTACGGCTGCATGTATCGCGTGAGCGGTTATACACGACCATCAAATAACTATGATAAAATCGATAAATTGTGCAAAAAAAAATACCTTTGATTTCATTTCGAATCTTTGCATAGTGAACACGTATGCTGATGCCGCTACTAGATAGGCAATTCCCAATTTAAGTAATGGTCGCCAAAGATCATCGGGTGTAAATGAGTTGCTACTGTTTCGATTGATTACACTGTTTATAATGACGTCGACAAACAAGAAAACTAGGAAACGCTGTAAAATGAAATATCGTTTCTATATTTATATAAGTATATTTATTGATGAAATGGTAATGGAGTTTCCATTAGTCTGACTAATGCATGCCATAGTTAATTCATAAGTTACCATAGTTGAAATTAATGGTGCTTCAATGTGAATGAAAACTGATCGATACTCGACACCGCAAGTAGAAAAAATAATATCTCAATAAAAAATTAATTGTAATGTATTAAAATGATTAACTTACGCTGAAAATGTCTTTTATAATAGCGCGCTTGGTCAATTGATTAAATGCCTTGTCCATAACAGTGGGGATGTTGAAACCAACACTCCAAGCGAATGCAAAGTAGAGACATTCGGCCACTGAGAGACCAATAGAATTTTCAGATCGTAAAAAAATGCTATAACCACCACCTCCAGTGGTAGCGAAAATTATTAAACTGAGTAGTAAACTGTAACATCAAAGTTGATTAAAAAATATTGGGTTGGAATACAATATATTGCTCTTACCGGAATTGACACTAGCATCGAGGAACTCCAGCGATCGGAGGTATTATAATAGTACACTTTATGGAACAGTACATGGACAGAACCATGAATAAGATCAGTTTTGACGTTAGAAATACGTTACTGGGTTTAAATATGGTTCAATTTTTACATATTTGTTTGATAATTGTATCCAATCACAACAATGTCATTTGTGTATGTAACGTAAAAGCATCGTGGTACCAAACGATATCAACGTTTCCACTAGTTTGTTTTAAACAAGATTGCTTGATGCTTGTTTTGTAACGCTTACACCTGGTATACAATGTTATATTTTAGAAATCTCTATATTGGATCTACGTACCCTCTAAAAATATTAAGAGTGGATGGTTCATCCTCTGTTTCGCCAACATTTATTTCCAAAACTTTCTTGCCTTCATTACTTGTGTTTTTTCTATTTTTCCTGCGATTCCACAAATATTTGACAAGGTAATAGACAAAAAACACTCCAAATAGTACAACACTGCATAAAATCAAAGCTGAAAAGTAAAAGAAAAACCGGAGTAATTTTGCAAAAGCCAGCTAGCTGGCTTCAAAGCATGCTAAGTTAAAAAAATACATACGAAGATAAGTATTTGCAGGAGGGACTTCAGTTGTAATTTCACATTTGCCAATATCGAGACGGTATACACCGTACTCGTCGAAAGATGCGCCCAGTTGACATAACAAGCCTCTGAAATCAGAGTTTAACAAATGAATATTCAGGAAACTTATAGATAATGAGGAGATGCTCCGAGATGATTCTTGGGTAGATAATCTCATCAACAGAAATAAAAAGGTATTTATTAAGCTAGTCATGGGAAATAAAGCTATTTTTAACGAATCCAAATCGTGGAAATTTGTTCTTCAAATAATAAACGTTTCGGGCCCTCAATCTGCGGTGACAAGTAGACAAGTTAGTACATGAAAGTAAAGTCTTTATTCATTACTGTTTGCTATCTTGAGAGAAGTCTTTCTGTCTGCTTCCTTTGATTCTCCAATACTTCTCGTAGCGACTGTCGATCATCCAGATAGTTTCTTCGTTAGGTACGAGTGAAGCATGATGTTTATATGGACACTGAAATGAAGGAGACGCTATTGGACTATCAGCTATTACTGCTGCCGTTACTTAAAGAGAAGATAATGTTTACATAAATGAAATTTTAAAAATCTACTTTTGTCTTGCGGTAATTTTATATCTTATCCACCTTGGCCTTGTTTTACACATCACGGAAGTATGCATTGCATTTTTTTTCTTTAAATGTCACGCGCATTTCTTCAACTAACGGCGGCAGAGTAGCCCTTTAAATAGGTTTATATAAACATACATATATACACACTCACACACCCACACGTACCTCACAACATAATATCAGTTTTACAAACGCCTTGATTAAACTGTCAAAGCTACCGTTCTAGTTTCTGTAAAAATCATCCTATTTAACGAATTTAATAAAATTTATGTAATTCAAAACAAATAAGATATTATAAATATTGTCAATAAATAATTTATTGAGTATGCTAAAGAACTCATTCATTTTGCTAAGTAAACAACTTGTTAACTTTGTCTAGAACTTCTAATTTATTACTTAACAAATGACACCAATATTGTTAGCGATAAATAAAAAAAATGTCCCAGATTTACGCATTATTTGTGCGCTAACGTTATCAAATTCGTGTCAGGTCAAAGTCCCGGAATTATTAATTGTCCTCGTTTTTATTGCGTCCCTAAAATTAAATTTGATACACCTACACAATAAAAGTAAAAAAAATGTATTTTTAGTTTTAAAACTGTCTAGCTAGACTGCCAGTTCAATTTTGAATGATAGTTACATAAAAAAACTAATTTTGCAATTTTGTGGTGCATGATCAATTGAATTGTAAAATAGTTTTAGTTAGTAACTAAAATTACCACACAATACATTTTTTTAACTCAAAAACGCATATGAATTCTTTCAACAAAACGAGCTGTTCTTATGCAAAATAACTCCAGCAAAGTCATTTAGAAGTTTTGTGATAATTCATTGAAAAATTAATACCGTGACAAACTTGTGTTATGTAATAAATAATTATTCAGGAAATATCTGATTTCCTAGTAGTGGTAGTATATTTCACGACAACATAAAAAAAATAGGTCTCTAAGCTGGCGTAATGGCGCAAACGGAAATTGGAGCAAACGGAAATTTTAAATTCCGTGTGCTAGTATCATTCGGTGGACCATATTTGTTAGTAAGAAAGAGTACATACAACATATAAAAGCACGCTCACTTCTTTTGCCAATCCTCGCATCAATAGATATTTACAGCTAAATATATATGGAAAAGATACTTACATTAAAACAATTCTTGTCGACACCATAAACCGAGACGTCGTCCACGGTTGTGTTTACCATAACATAGGCATGGTTCATGGGCAGAAGTCTAAGATTGAGGCCCTTGTAATAGTTCACGACTGGATAACCCAGCCACTCATCAAGCAACATGTTTACTCCAACAATGTTGTACACTGGTTCTATAAATAAATGGTGATAATATTCATGTATGCTCAATTACAGAAACGTACGAAATTGACTTCTCTGCCTCACAGATATTAAAACTAGCAGTTAACAATATTAACTTTATTTCAGGTACTCTGACAAACTAACTTAGTTTTTTCTTTTTTTTTCACTGGTCTCATGGTCCAGCTGACTTGAATCGAAACATATGTAATTTTGGAACTGAAAAAAATTTGCTTGTATTCTAATATGCAAGTTTCGTCACGGAACATTACTTTTTAGTCATAGTAATTTATTTAGCCGGTATAATTTTTGGTACCATTTTCTTTAGTAGTTAAATTTAAGAGTCCGTCAATTTATGTCACTGTTTATTAAATCAATTGCTTAATGAAATTGCTGTTTCACGTTTAATGTCGCTTGTTGCTTTTTTATTACTTTGATTGATGCAATAAGGTTTTCCTATTCCTTTTTACCGTTTTCATTCTGTTCTAAACTAGGAATGAAATATATTTGAACTAATAACAATATCTTTACTCTTTTTTTTTAACTTTAATATGTTAGTTATCCGTTTTATGTTCAGTAAGTAATTCTAGAAACTACAAATGTTAATCAAAACAGACTAAATATAACAATTAATGCTTCTTACATACAGTTGATAAATCCAACACTATCGCTGTTCACGACACAACTGAGAGGCACCAACTGATCAATATGCATTAGCAAGTATCTTTGAACCTAACCTTTCATACAAACAAACATTCTTATCGCAATTCATTTTTCTTAAATACAAAGACATAAGGCATATAATAAATTTGTTGATAGTACATACGATGTATTTTCAATTTAAAAAAACCTTCTTTGGTACGAAATTGGAAATAGACGACGACATATTGTAGTCAAGTCAACACGCAAAAATTACTCATAATCCGGAAATTATATTTCTTACAAACAAGAAGCAAAAAAATATGAAAATTAACAAATAGTTACAATAACGGCAGATTAAAGGTAATTGATTATCAGTCTCGGTTGCTTTGGGATCAAAGATCACAAGAAATTGTATCATTTATACATATAATAATTTAAAAAAGATCTAATGCGTAATTTGATTCGTTTAAACTTTGTGAAGGGCAATTATCAAAGATGGTAACAAATCATCTCGTGTAACAATTTGCTTTGGAACTCAAAACTTATTTGATTATTGATGACACACTACACACTACGTGTATGAAACATTTTTTGACGGAATTGCTGAGTGTACAAAATGCTACGACTCCTTTAGCAAGTACAACCTAACAACGTTAAAATGTAAAGACCGTGGAATTTTAGGAGTTTTGTAATTTCGTATCAGTAGAGTGCATGCCACCAGAGAAATTATGCCGAAGTTTACATAATCCGGCCCCAAATCGTGTTCGTAGAGATTGCGGGACGTTCAGCCCAACTTACGACAACATCGACTTGCCTCATCGTGCTGCCGACTTTGTTACGGGATTTTGTTTCTTCTTCAGTTTCGTTTTCATCGTCAAAATGTTTAGGTTGAACGTTATTTATCTTCGGAAACTAATTCATTCGACTTCATTGTAAATTGGCGAATTAATGTCATCATGTAGTACCAATTAAATGATAGACTTTGCGTCCACAACAACCACGGTTATCATAAAAACTGGCATCACCGTTTCAATTAGAGACAAAGACGTGTCGTGTCTGAAAACGGAGTTAGACTACCTCCAGCCGTTGGTTTATTCCCACACTAAAGAGTTGAAAAGCGTGCAAACTTTGTGAGCTGGCGTTAAGTTCACGTCGACATTCCCAGCGTCTTGTTCCTAACAGGATAGTTAAATCTGCTTTATAAATACTCACTTGATGATAGCTACAAGAGCTATGGACTAAGTTCTGTGCATTAAGTATTGTTCTTGTTTTCGAGTGTGTTCGTTTTGTTAGGGTTCATTAAATGAATTATTTTGTAACGAAGGATACGTAACACAAACTGTTGAATGCATCAGTGTCGTCTGATTACGGAATATGGTTAACCACTTCTCATTTGACAATTTCATAAGTTTTTGTCTTTATATTTCTATCATTTCTTACAATACTTACTAATAATATCATCGACAATATTCAGTACTTTGGATAACGTTTCACAATCATAAACGCTTATAACGTTTACATTCTACTTTTATATCTCAATTCCGATATTTCCCCGCGCCCTTTTAATGCATTGCGCAGTACCATAAATACAAATGTGAACAAAAACTGGGCTAAACTAAGTGGAGCTTACGATACGACATGGGTATGACAATAATCCCCCTATTTCAAATGTAATAAAAGCCCAATATTTTGGAAACGACGTCTCATTTTTTGGGGATAATTTGGAATTAAACGAAATTTTTGAATTAAATAAATTTTTTTAGTTGACTTAAAAGTGCATACATGTCGTCTGTTTGGCTTTTACTTGATTTTCTTCTCATTTTATAAATTACTAGTACTGTTAATATAGAAGAGAAAAGCAATGCCCTGCTGCTAATAAAGATATTAATTTCGCTGGTGAAATTACACTCCTCTTTTTTCTAACGCATCCAATTATTATATTGGATGCATTAGAAAAAATATATTATATTGCAGAAGTTCCTATTCCTAACATTTCAGAAAAAATATTTTGTTTTTAGAATGTTTGGTATTTTTGGCCCCGGACTAAGAATAATTATTTTCCTTGCTTGTTTTACATTGCATCATCTTATAAAATGATTGGTTTGGTTTATTTACTTTTATTATGATTATAACTGCATCTAGTCTACACTAGATGCCATTATAAAAAGTTACATAGCATCGATTGCTATGTAACTTTTTATAATTTTATAACATCATATGGAACGTGGATATGTTCCATTTCACACAAAACCCTAAGGTGAAATATGTAAATACAGGGAGAAAAATTCAAGACTTTTAAAATTTTTTTTTTCGCGTAAAGTGTTCACTTTGTACGTCTGATGAGAATTAAGAATTGGTACGTAAAACCCTATTATCAATAATAACTACTGGGCTAACTGGTACGATATTAGGTTTTGTAAGAATAATTCCGTTTAATGCAAATATTACATTAAGTCACTGGCGCCTGCACTCGCCTCCTGATTTAATTCCGCAACATAATTCTGGAGGGCAGACAAGATTTTCTACTTCAAACTGTCTGAATATGAATTCTAGCAACTGTAAAATTGGACATAAGTTAGTATGAACTTTGAGCCATTTTATGATAATTTTGGTTGTCCTTGCGGGTATTTTCTTGCTACATTTAGCAGTCAACTATGACTTAGTAGCGTAATTAAAACAAAATTTAATAAATGTAAATAAATATCGAGTTCTTAGGTTTTCGCGATTGTTACACATAGGAAATAAAACTATTATATAACATGGTCACGTGACCATGGGACCTGTAAAGGGCCCGAAATGTCGGTTTGTTTGAAAAAACAAATATACGCGATTTAAATCCGAAAAAATAGTTTAATTTCCTATGTAAATAAATAATTTAAAAGGAACGTTCTGCATAACTATGTATATATAAGTAGGTAAAATGTGAGGTTTAATAATTTCTATTCGTTTGTATAATTATTTATATTTAGCACCCCCACTTATATTCATGTTTAGTCTCTCTCCATCCTAAGATTGTCTGGAAGAAATCGCTGTAAGCGATAGAACACCAGTTGTTACCCTGCTAATGTGTTCCATTTTTGTCCTGTAATCTTTCTATGTATGTGGTGCTAACAATAAAGAATTATCTGTCTATCCATCCATCTAAATATGACTGATACATAAATTTATTTTTCAGATTATTAAATTTGAAATTACGCGATGAATTTATGTTTGTTAAAAACCCTGTTTTGAAGATATTTTAGGACTAGTAGTTATCTTAATGAAAGTGACAATAAATAGAAAAAGTATTAAAGTATGCGTTCTCGAGTGCAAAAATGACCCGTATATAACACCTGCAGAAGCATCAAAACTTTCTGGCAACCTAGGTACTAAATTAAATTTAAAATCTTCGGCCATTTATTGCAGAAAACTCCGAACAAATTCATGCACGTCAATGGCATGCTCGTTTCGCCCGACTGAGTCGTCTATCAACAAAATATACGATGTAGCCCGTTCACGCCTAGAGCTCCTATTTCAAATGCTAATCTGCCATACAACAGTCAAGTATTTGACAGCTATAAATTGTCCAATAGTTTAGAGGAGAAATGGAAAATGCTGCATGCGCTGACACATTCCTACTATCCTTAATTGGTATATGTATTTACAGTTTCCTGTTCTAGAATATTTACACCGCATCTCGGGTTTTTAATATAGCAGATTTTAGTGTATATCGCGAATCGATGAATCGAGGGTAAATTAAATAAACGATACTTCAAAGTTCCCTGATGTATGGTAGGTAATGAGTGTTGGGTGTGGCACAAAAAACTTGAAAGTAGGGTGAATGCTATTTATTATATTAGTCTTAAAGACAGAATACCGAACAGTGTAGTAAGAGAGCGTTGTGGCATGAAATACGATGTAGGGAGGGATGCTTCGATGGTTTGAGTCGTGTAGAAAGAATTAATGTTGGTAGATCGACGGCACAAATTTATGTGGGTGGAGGCGTGGGGAGAGGTGACCTTGGCGTAAATATCTCAATACAGTTGGGATATCCTTAAAAAAGCCAGATTAAAAGTACCAAGAATAAACCGGTATGTATGGATTGGAGTGGAAGAGACGAAGGAGGTTTGTCAAGAGCGTACCAGGTGGAAACGCATAGTCTCTAAATATCCCGGTGGGAGAAGGGTGTGTTGAGTTTTTTTGGACACACACATCACCTTTGGACAACCACAAATTACACCCAAACTCACGATAGAAATGTAGGCCATATTAATATTTCTCCCGGCCCTGGATCGAACTCGGGACCTCTGCGTGGCAGTCCAGTATGGTAACCGTTCGGCCACGGAAGCAGTTAACAGGATATAATATGTAGTCTTTCCGTTTTTTTATTAAGCGATAGCTCGCGTTAGGCGAAAACAATGTCGTTGATGAAGCGACATCCAAAGAATTTTTCTTTGAATTTGTACGATCCTTTATCAATTACAGAATATAATTATTAATACAAAGATCGAACACTCAGAAAAAATTCCTTCGATCCGGTCGGATTCGAACCGACGTCTTCTTGCATACCGTGGCAGACGCTATACCAACTAAGCCACGGAACGAACCAACGGCCCTCATGAATTTTTCTATGTGCTTGCGTCGTGTCTTTGTACTTGGTTTTTCAACGACTTTTTAGTCGTAGCGCCATCTATGAGAAATCTATAACAGATTTATCACCCAGTTAGTACCTTTACAGCTACCAGTCCTGGCGAGAGATGTCGCTATTCACTGTATTAATTAAATTTTTTATTAAATTTCAATCAGTTCAATAAAAATTTAATTAATTACAGACAAGTACTATGACAAAAAAAATATATAAATAAATTTTCAGTATATTTACGTTTGCAATTCAGCATAGTATTTCAGGACACAGGCGACGAGACAAAAAGGGATTTAACAAGAGAGATCACAACAAATCCGCGTTGGACATTGCGGACATTTGCCTAGATACATCACGTGTGAAGCCACAAATGCTGGCAGTTTCCTGCTACATAGAGCTTGGTAGTTTAGGAAACATTGTTCCTTCGTTAAGGAAAACTTAA